GGAACAGTGTGCGTGACGTATGGAGATCCTTCACGGTTGTGGAGTTCTTCTGCAGATGGACCAAGTAGAGCTGGTCACGATACTTGATGGCCTTGCTGCGGGTCATCTTGTGGATTTCGACCGGCTTGAGGCCGTTCGCCTTAATCTCGTCCATTAAGGTGGTGGTGTCCATGTCGTGGAGCCCGCGCAGCACCACTTTCAGCGGCTTGGTGGCCTCGACGTCGTGGGAGAAGTACTCCAGCTTCATCCTGTCCAAGAGGGCCTGGACTGCGTTGTAGTGATTTTCGGCCGAGACCATCAGTTTGTAGCCTTCCGTGCACCGTTGAATGGTGCAGCGAAGGCCCTGCTTAATGTAGAAATCCAGCTGCTCCCATAGCCCGGGAGGGAAGCCCTTCACATAGAAGGGTGGCAACTTAACTTTTTTAGGCACCGTCTCAGGGTCCGACTGCGGCTGGGCTCCGTTCTGCAGGGCGGAGAACGGATTGATGCTCAGCAGCTTTTTTGCTGCCGATGCGGTGGCGCTGATGTCTTCAGGTCTGGGTCGTTTAGTTCCGGGAGGCCCCGGCTGCGGGTCCGCAACGCCTGTCGGGACGGGCAATGGGGTTTTCTTCTGCTTCTTCTGAGCTGGCTCGGTGGTCGCGCCGTCTCCTGGGAAAGTCTGTTTTCCCGGTAAGCCGGCACTCGCGTTACCGCGCGATTTCTTACCCATGGCTGGGTCAGCGAGAGCGTCACTATACAACGCGGAGCTAATTCGACTTGCGAACGAACGAACGAAACTAGAGAGAATTCAAATCGACTGAACTGCTCAACAGTCTGGCAGCGAATGAGCTAATGCCATACAGCAGGGCTCTTTTATATCTTTTCAGGTTAAAGCAGAATGAATGGTATAAAAGCTACAAAGACTCCTCCCATTGTGAGTAGTTTGCTATCAAGTAGCGACACTGGCTCTTTTCCTTTTGCATACATGGCGAATGAGAATGACCCAAATTTGAGTTTAGTTCACTCATAATCGCCAACAGTGCAGGAACTCAGCGATGAGTAAATTTGTCTCATGGTTTCCTAAAAAATCTGCCAGAAAATAAGGAAATTGACGAAAATTTTATTCAGCCTCGGAGTAGTACCAATAGACTGAGTGAATCCAATCTTTACTTTCCTCAAATTCGGGAATTTTTCACTGGAAAATCCTGGAAAATCTTTGAAAACATGAGGCAAATTTACTCATCGCTGAGTTCCTGCACTTTATTTCTTATTTCTGAGATAACTAAACTCAAATTTGGATCGATCTCATTCGCCGTGATATCACCTTGAAAGATATCAGCGCCGGTGGTTAGCGTGATTACCTTTCACCCCAGCAGGCCTGGGTCCAATCTCAGTCGGCGCCACCGGCATGTTTTAAGGCATTACAACTCTGATCACGCCCCGTTGGTCCCCTGTTCATGAGTTGATGGGTCGATTGGTAGGGTCCAGGTGTGGGAGCTGCCTCCCTGGCGTCGGTAGCATTGGAGCTCAGTACAGAAAACAAATCTCGCGTCACTTTTCAATAGGTCCTATCTACATTGATCGATTCTCTTCATCGACACTCTCTTTCGTAAATAACTCGGCTTCACAAATGTTTCCTACCGTCTTCGTCAAATTAGATGCTAGATTGTTGCTTCTTCCATCGAAAATATCCGGCCGTGGCGATTCAAAGTTGATCAAGGTTGATCAAAATAATTTGTACCCCTGCTTCCAGTTTGATTACATGAGCATTTTGTGTGGTCGTTGGTTCTGAATATGAACAAACAGGCAGATGAATTCTATTCCTACTCTTTACTGTAATAAGCTTGGTGGCTCTGAAAAGAGCCGTATTGTTGCCAAAGTTGGTGATGATTTAACCTCCGAAACCAAACAGAGTGCGTCTCTGTCACTTCAAAACGTAGATGACATCCATGGCCGCTTACGCTTGGCGTGTTTAGTGTAGATGACAGCATCACGGAACACCTTCAGCACACCTCGTAAATCAGACCGGAGATACGTCAGACACCGACACGGCGAGCCAGACGACGGATGGTGGTTATCTCGAAGAATTTGCGTTTGGTTCTGAATATGGCGATGAGCGTGCAAAATTTTACGCAATTCCATCCTCCCTTTTTGCACGCGCCCGAGGATAAGAGGCAAATGCCACTTCGACTTGTTTCGTCTACTTACTACTCTCTGACGACTGTGCTGGGGAAGCAGCATATGCATGTAGGTAATTGGTGGATTTGTTAGTTAATTCGACGCTTTTGGACAATGCTGGACATTTACCAGTTTTTCAATAGTTTATTGTTGAAAATCAGCATTCGGAAGCATTGTTATCGATGCGTAGCCATATTTCTGATCGATTGGTGATAAAATTATTGAAATTGGACCAGGGGCAGCTGAGTTATTAACGTTCAAAATCTTTCTTAATTTGTTACATGTTCCATTTTCGGTTTTCACAAAGTGTACCCCCATATAGAAATCAAAGACGTAGTCCTTCGTCAAAAAAATATTGCCCATAACACACAGCTAGGCAAAGTTTATTGCAAATCGGAGAAGGTCTAATTTATTCTCATTCGTCATTTGGCGTGGAACTGCTCAACGCGGAACAGATCGGGCCAGTCGGATTCGGAATTAACCATTTTATTCGAGCTCTTAAAACGACGTTTACTACCACTCGAACTTTGAAATAAAACATTATTTTGAGATTTTTTCTTCTAGAACCTCGAGAAAAGTAGCCAACATTTGTGCGTTTCATAAAAAAATATAAATTATTTGGTCCAGTTTTGTGAAATCGCTGGTAGAAAGTCACGCCAAAACTGCTTGACAAAGTGGTCAATTGCTTCGCCACTGGTATAATCTCCACCGTAAAGTATCGAAGCTGTTCGGAAATGGAGCTGCATTGCGAAAAGGGATCTTTGGGATCCCACAACGCCAAACCGAACTATCCATTAAATTGCTATCCTAGCATTTGAAGGCACCCGGTTCAACCAAACCAATCCAAGCACAAAAGGGACGGAGAACGGAATGAATCGATTGCAGATGTATGTACACAATTTATCCGGTTCTATGTGCATCGCCCCGGGTTGTCGTCAGCCGGAATTTTATATTATTCGCAAAGGAATAATAAAAAAAAAGTGGGAAACTGTTGATCTTTTCCACGCTGCAGTTGTATGACCGGAGGATTGTTGCATTCAAACTGCTCGAATGGCCAAAAGCCATAGAGACCGAGGGAAATTATAAAATTGAATTACCAGTTGAATCTGAAGCTCGATTTTCTGCTTCCGTGCAGGCCGATGAACCCGACTCAAATTTCAGATTCGTTTACTCTAATTCGCAAACACGCAGGTGACGTATAGACCATAGTACATTTTGCGAATTTGAATAAACGGAACACGAATTTTAGTCAGATTCAGCGGCCGAAGGACGAAAAAATAAATGTGCTTAACGAATTTGGTTTCATTCCCTTGATTAACATTAAATTCAGGGAGAGTGTCTTTGCATTGAATAATCCTTTAAAGGAAAGTACAAAATTTTTAAAGAAAGACAGCATTACTGTGCAATCCCAATGTTCAATGGAATCTTAAAAGGAGTCTTTAAGGGTAGGGTAAATGCTCCTATAGTTTCGGTACGTTAGATGCGTTAGGTTCCTATAGTTGTGTATTGAGCCTCCATGCACAACTATAGGAACCTAACGCTTTCAACCTACCGCAACTGTAGGAGCGTTTCCTCTATTAACTTAAATATTTGCTGGGAGCGATTGACCGAATTGTTCAAATTAATGAAACAACCCAAAGGTTATCATATTTTCTGTCGTTTTTTTTAATGCATTGTAGGTTTTGCTTTGCTAAAATCAAGCATCTACCACATGGGAAGCTGAGTCCCATTTTATTGTAGAATTACTTTCCACGACCAGTCTCCAAATCCCACCACAACCTCGCCCGTTGGTCTTTCAATGGTCTTTCATTCAATTTTCTAACCATCTTCCGCACGTCTTCACTCTTTATATATTCAATGCAGAATAACAAATTCCCTTTCGACTCATGAACTGGCTATAGCTGACCACAAATCATTTCACTTTACATTCCAGGAAGGAAGAAAGAGCTCAATTGCGATAGGAAATGAAAAATATTTCCCAAATTCAGTTTGAAAACTGTATGGAAGCGACTCAAAAGGCAGCTGGATGGAATCAAAACACCATTCGTCTGGCTAACACAATATGATTTGCGAGTGAAAAGTCGGCATTTTGCATTCAAAAACTCAATCTAAATTCATGAGAATGTAAGCAAAACGATTGCATGTGCTTCTCTGAAAGAGATATTTAGTTACCAAATTTTCTCCGTTCTTGACCAGGATCAGGAATACTTTTCTGTAATCTCGTGAGTAAACTCGATCTCCACTGAACCCTCGCCCTTCTCGGGGCTTGGCGAGATAAATGAGAACTTTGTCTTCCTCTGCTTCCGGACAGAGCTTGATGGAAGTAATTAATCAGTCTGGCATTCGCTGTAAGGAGGAGAATATAAGTTTCCCAGAAAATGAAGCTATCTCCTACCTATCAAACTGATCCTGTCAGGATTTTAGCATCCACCCACCTGGTTACATGCAATCAATTTACTTACCCGAAGTGAGCAGTAAATTTAATTAAGGAAGGCTCACTTGGAAGTTCATTGATGGATCGATGGAATGCTCAACTTCAAGGACTACTCACCTCACATTAAAAGCAGTGTTCCTTTTGTTTTCGCTCCGTTGTTTGCTTGGACCGGTATCAAAAATTATAACACCTTCAACAGCTCTGATCCCACCGAACTCGTCGTTCGCCTTAGATTAAGCCCCCTGTAGGATGTTTTCCTTTTGCACCGATCCGAGGGTTGCGAAATCACCGATTACCTGAATGGGTGAATGGGTCTGTGTGTGTTACAGGAAGAAAACAAAGACTTATCGGTTAGGTGTCATGCATGAGGTAAACGAGGAAGGGAAGGGAGGCGTGGTGCTTGGGAAACTCACTCTCCGATGGGGGCTGCCATTCGGGATCCGTGCATGGCTTGAGCGGCCCGGGCGCGGGCAATCAGCGTCATTACGGTCCGCTTCGTCGGGTTCATACTGGAACGAGGACCATCCAGCAGGGGCCGCTTTCGAGCTGTGTTGGAAAGAAAGATGGGAGAATTATGAGGGAAAAAGGCTTCACAACAATGTGGAAATTCGTCAAGAAATGCTGATGGGAATTATTGAAACATTGCTGACCGGAATTCTACCAACTTTCCTGCCAAAATTTATTGAAGAGTATGAAGTGAAATTTCACATTTATTCCTGAATTGAACTCCACAGTAGTTTCTGGCCAAAATACCACAAGATTTTTGTTCTATAAAAATTCCCTTCAAAAATTCCATGAGAATTTTATACAAATTCCTGGATGGAAATCTATACGAATTTTGAAAGAAATTAAATAACATTAGAAAACAAAAATTAGGGGTATCGACTGGTTTTAGGGAGATTTATTTTTTATGGATTTCACAGCCAAGGGTAATCCAAACGGTCAGTTATGCATTGCCCAACGTTTCGTCCGTTTATTGTGGTTTTTAGTTGTTGGGTTCTCAACGGGCATTGGGACTGCCATAAAAAATGCTTGATTTTGTCCCGGAAATTCTAAAGCCGACACTTTTCGCCTACACACTTAGAAACATTGATGTAAATTTAGGTGCTCTGAGTCAGTTTGTGAAAGGTATAAAACATGTTCACATTAATATATGTCTACAGGTATCGTCAACTTCATTTCTTTTCATGGATGCGTCAAATGCTGCACTATTGGCCAACATTCATCATTGCTTCGAATTAATATCTTTTCACAAACGTAATATGAAGGCCATTATGAAGTATACAACATTCGTGAAAATGGAAAAGTCAAAAGAATTCCTGTTACCCCACCACTTCTACAGCTACCCATTGATAAGGTTAAAGATTTAATTGTTTCTTATTCATTGCATCTGCTACATCTAGGTATCATGAAGCGATTATTAATAGCGATGATAGAAAATGGCCAAGTAGTGTCTTTGAATCAATAACAGGCATCTTACTGTCAAAAATATTGCCAGTTGAAATCCACAGAGCAGCTCGTGGCATCGATTTCTTAACCCATTGGAAAGCATTAACATTAAATTCAACACAATAAGTGAAATAAATCATTCGCATTCCTTTACCAATGTTCAAAAATAAATATATCCTCTGTTAAGGTATGCATTTAAAAAAAGATTCACTTAAATTTGCTTGTATTAAACTATCCGAAAGCTTTACTTTGAACAACAATTTTACTAATTATAATATCTCACAAAGAATAGACGCATTGTTGATATGCAATTCGCAAGCGCAGTTGAATTTTTCGGTACAGAATTACATTCAGTTGAAGAACTTTTCGATAGTTCTTTTCCGTCTACAAACATTCATGTGTTTAAAACATCTTTCTTACCTAAATTCACAGTTTTCACTCCTCGCAGCACCGGATGAAGAAACGCATTAGCCGATGCAACGAACGCCAGTGTCTGCGGTTCGATGTCTGTCGTTGGCAGGGCTGCAAAGAAAGAATTCAAAAACCATAAAGCAACAGCCGGAATCATTCGAACCTAAACTAAAAGGCTACAGCCGATTGGGATCCCTGGTCCATGGACGGTCGAAAAAAGTTCCACCTTGGGAGTAATACTTATCCATGAAATAAATCGCTGCTCCGAGGCGCATAAACCGACAGTTCTTCTTTCACAGCCACAAATGAACCAACTTCCAACCGGTCGTGTCCCAACACGACATCGGTGATATCAAATAGTAAATTACTGCTGCACCTCAATCCCACACGTCCACCCTGAGGTCGAATTTTACGGCATATCATAAATTGAGCCTCTTGTGCCAACCATGCAACACAACACAGAAAATTCCATTATCTCATAAAACTTACACGTTCTAACGTCATGTATTACATAACTCAAGTTGAGCGCCACCACCACCGCCACCAGCTTCCTCAGGAGTGTGGTAAAATATGAAGTGATAAAATGTGGGAACTTTCTCCTTCATTAAGGAAACGGGCATACACACACACATTCTCACACTTTCGGTTGGTCCTTGCCTCCTGCTTCGGTCATCTGTTGCAAGTAAGATGGCCCCTCTGACCGACGACTGACCGCATACTCATTTGGTATGCATTCTATATAGTCTGCGTCTCCTTCCCCTCGACGGTCTCGATGGTGTTTTACTGGCCAGTTGACAATTGGCGTAGCGAGAGTTTTATGTAGGTAATAGATCGCAATCATAAAGGCTTGGGAATATAATGAAAAACCATCATTAATGGACTAAAATAGCAAGGGGTCAAGGACTTAATTTCAATACTTGGTGTCGAAATGATCATCTACAAGGTCAGTTGACTATACTCACCAACTGACTCGAGCAAGTAATATTCTCAGGCGGAATAAGTCTGTATCTAAGACATCTGCCAAACTTCGGAGAAACTTGAATGTTCTCTGATTATTTCAACAACTGGAAAGTCCGTATCAACTTGGTGAATACCCAGTCCATAATCTTTTCACATTTCCAATCACCTAGACTTTTCCGTCTGTGAATATCGAAATCTGTTTAACCGGTGGTGGAATGGTCGAAAGAGGTAGTCCAGCTCGGACGACCACTAGACAGCAAGCTGATTTTCAGGGAGCACATTGACAAAACTAATAGCAGCTTGGTAAGACCACAGTATCCGCACATCAACAGGAAGTCCCCCCTGTCCCTGATAAATAAGCTTGCTGGTGCCACGAGGATCCAGTATAAGATCCTCAGGATGATCCAAAACAGTCCTCCGTGGACACGTAATCCTGAGGTTAGACACTGGAGGAGATGAGAACGTTAATCATGAAAAGGTTCAGAGACATCTGTCTGAGGTCAAATCATTTTTTTTTTTTGTTTATGTTGAATTATTCAAATGAAATAAAACATAGAAAAACCTTTAAATTGAGATAGGGGAAAAGTTGACTTCGTCAATATCTTAAACTATTATTGTCAGGAGGGTTAACAACGTCCTTGAGAGCACAATTAAAGTGCGAACTAAATATATAATTGGTGTAGTGGACAAAAAGAATTTTTTAACTTATTTTCTAAAACTACCTTTCAAGTTCCGCCAGAAGGTGCTTAGAATGCTCTTTAATTATGAATTTTCAAGTTCTTATAACGACTTTAAAATGAGGTTGATTAGAATTCAATAGACCATTTTCGACCAAGCTGCTAAAGCCTCAAACAGCCTTTTATCTGAACTTTTGGTTACTAGGGCTAAACGTTTCAAACTTAGGACAAAAGCACTAGGAATGTTGTCTTGCCAAATTCCCATCTAGGTGGACAAAGCTCTTAACTCCACTTGCATCCATTTCAGGAGCCAACACCTCTCATCACATACCGACACTTCCTAATAGAAGAAGCTGTCACTTTTACGCTAATAGCCGTTGAAACACAGACCAGAACGATCATGCAACAAGCTTACTTACAGTTTACAAAACGATTAGCCGACGTCATGTTCACGTTGACCGCCATCAGATTGCTTATATCGGCGGCGGTTCCCGACAGGAGCTGCTGATGCTGATGCTGTTGAGCATTAGTGCTGTTGGTATGTTGCTGCGACGAGTGTTTACTATTGCCATCCGATCCGTGCGTCGTTCCAGCGGAAAGAATTCCCCTACAGCCCGTTGTGATCGAATCAACTCCGCAGCTCTGATGGTGCATCATCTCTGAATTACCGTCGAGACCGGTTCCGTTCAGTGTCACGTTGCCGATGGATGTGCCGTTATTGCTACTGCCGCTGCTGCTGCTGCTATTGACGTTCTGGCCGTTGGAGTTGCCATTCGTTCCGTTCGGTACTGCGTGGGAAACGGGAGGAATAAGAATTAATTGAAGTGAGACTACATGGACTGGGATTTGACCCGAACATGTGCTATTAATATTGGAAAATTCCAGTTTAAAACTACAAATAAATTGCGAACTTAGCTGAGTTATGCTTACCGTTCTGTGTCGAGTTGAGTGTCTGCATCTCCCACATTTGCTCCTGCCGGATATCGTCGTGGTGATCCTGTGGATGAATCAAAGAAACAGAACTAAATTAGTAAAATGAGTATGCGAGCAGAGCACATCATTACAGATGAAATTGATAATTGTTTCTACAACTTTGCTGAGGAATGATCCAACGATCCAACTATAGCTTATAGCATAAAAGGAAGATTCTTGATTTGAATTTTAATGAGGACCATCCTACTCACAATTCTCATAAATGAAGAAAAATTTAATTATAAACAATTTCTACGAAGACAGCAACCGCCTAAAATCAACAGAAAAGGAATAAATATTTGTTTCCCGGTAAATTTCCGTTTCGGACTACGCTCTAACAGGATTTATGTTGTAGCTAATGAAGTAACGCATCGGAACAAACCTATTATTGGTTTGTGCACGTTGATCGATAGAACGGAAATGGGCGACTACGACGAATTAGCACTCTATCCTACTGCAGTCTGGTTCAATAACTCTTTCAGTGTTTTCGGATCATCTTCGCACATTAATTTAAATTGTACAGAGCTGGGACAAATACAAAGATCAACTTGTTTATCAAATGCTGTGCCAATGCACAATGCTCCAATAGTGCAATCTAATGGAAAACATTTAATAACTCTAAAATGAATAATTTTCGTAAACTTGTATATGCGCCTGCGATTTCTATATGGGGGTACACTTTGTGAAAACCGAAAATGAAACATGTAACAAAATTATGAAACATTTTAAACGTTAATAACTCAGCTGTCCCTAGACCAATTTCAATAATTTTATCATCAATCGATCAGAAATATTCCTACGCAGCTTTTGAAGTTGAGACCTTATCATTTTTCAAAATGTCACTATTGAAAATTGTACGAATGTACAACTGTTGCTATGATAATTAAAATTATCACCGATTGCATGCGAAAGGTTTGAGAACCACTGCATTAGATAGCTGTCAATGCGTTGGTGGAGCTGACGAGGCTCGTCGTTGCTTCTCGCATGTGGGTGTTTTTGCCTCGAAGTAATTGAGATCCCTGTTTGCTGTGCGTCTTCAAGTGTATCTTCGCTTTACATAGTGTGCTAGAGAGGTTTTTGTGCTTTCAAGCAAAGAACAGCCACGTGAACGGGAAGAGGAAACTTAATTCTAATTTCAGTGCTTTGAAAGCACATTGCCGGAAAGAATTGAAATGTTATCCTTGGTCGAGGATTTGAAACGGTTGGTTTTGCCTGATTTCTTAGGATGGTCATCGAAAAAAATGAGCTTTCCGCAGAATCGCTTAGTTTTGAGCAATATCATTTTCGTGTAAGTCATTGTGTTTCTTGTTATTGAGTCACGATGAACACTCCTTCTGTCAATCATTACATGAATATCGGTTGTTTCGTTCGTCAAGTGCATCAGTACCTTCCTTCGTTTTTTCCTCTTGCACTTCAATTCGGGGCTCATTCGACTTGTCACGCGTCGCGTCATCAGGCATCAAAATATAGTATCCAGATAGTCCATATCGGTTGCCGATAGAGATGGCATCCGTATTATATTTGGTAATAAAATGTTATTTTATATTACCGTGCCAGCACCATATTTGACGCGTCCCTAATGATGACGCACTCGTCTTATTTTCATCGCATCTCGATTTTGACAAGATATTTTTTTTAAACTTTGTTACACCATCATCCCTAGAGCACAGGAACTAATATTTGCAGAAGTAAAATTTCAAAAATAATGATTGAAAATAGTCGAACATTATTGAGTGCGTCGATTTAGGAACCGCTTCGAATATGCTGCCTCCACGGTAAACGAAAATTAAATTAACAAGGCCATTCTGGATATGGCAGACCACTACAATATGGGTATTTTCGGAACGGGGACGACGCGTATATGCCGAAAATCATGGAATCCAAGATGGTAGCCATCAGTTTTCTGAGAACGTGTCAAATATCCTAAACGTTGGGTATTTTCGGAACGGTCAAAACGCGAAGATGCCAAATTTTGATATCCAACGCCATTTTGGAATCCAATATGGCGGCCATCGAGTTTCAAAAAAGTGTCAAATACACTATAATATGGGTATTTTTGGAACGGGCTGAAAATCAACACTCGACGCCATTTTGGAATCCAATTTAGTGGCCATTGATTTTCAGAAGTGTCAAATACCCTACAGAACGGGGACAACGCGTAGATGGCGAAAATCGATACTTGACCTCATCTGTAGAGTATTTAACACTTCTGCAGAAATCTGAAGCCACCATCTTGAATTTCAAGATGGTGTCAGACAACGATTTCCGGCCTTTAGATGTCAGCTCGATTCCAAAAATACTCGCATTGATCGGTATTTGCTAGTATTTTACTCTTTTTATGAATAAGATTTTAAAATGCCGTCAAACATCGGTTTCTGGCCGCTAGACGTTACTGGGATTTCAAAAATATCCACATTGATAAGTATTTGATAGTGTTTTCCACATGTTCTGAAACCATAAATCGCCATTTGGGATTGCAATCAATTGACATCGATTTCCGACCTCTACGTGGCATCCCCGTTCTGAAAATACCCATATTTTAGGGTATTTGATACTTTTTCTCAAATCGGAAGCCGTCGTTTCGGATTTCAAAATGGCGATATCGATTTCAGGCTTCTAGACGTTAACCTAATTCTAAAAAAATATATGTATGGTATTACTTTTCTTAAACCAGAAGCCGCCGTCATGGATTTCAAAAAGGGGTCGGATATCTATTTTTATTCTCTAGACGTCATCTCGATTCCATTAATTACCATATTGATGGGTAGTTAACAGTATTTTGACGTAGGACTACGTCTGTGATTTTTATATGGGGGTACACTTTGTGAAAACCAAAAATGGAACATGAAACAAAATCATGAAAGATTTTGAACGTTAATAACTCAGCTGCTCCTGGACAAATTTCAATAATTTTATCATCAATCGACCAGAAATATTCCTACGCATCTGATAAATTAAAGACTATCATATTTCAAAATATCACTATTGAAAATTGCACGAATGTGCAACTGTTGCTGCGATAGTTAAAATTATGACCGATTGCCTGCAAAAAGCGATTTCCCTAGCACAGATTTCGAAGTTGAATTCCATCCGGTCTCACCAAACGGTGTTTATTCAATCACCGCGTGGTGAGTGATGGTGTTCTCCAGCACACAACGAAATGCGTCGCATATCTTTTTCCAAACTCTACCCACCCCGATTGCAAAAATACCCATATTGATGGGAATTTTTCAGTATTCAGTATTTTGACACTGACGAAGTCTGCATATTGTAGACGAAATACGCGTATCTGTCAAGGATAAGCAAATAAGGTAGTGAATTTGAATGGAAATTAATATTTTGCACTTTTATAAAATCGAAAACTGCCGCCTTAGATTTCAAAAATGGCGTCGAATATCGATTTTCATTCTCTATACGTCATACCGATTCCAAAAAAATCCATATGAATGGATCGGCATAAGTATTTCCCACTTTTATTATAAAAATCTACTATTCCGGCCTCTAGACGTCAATCTGCTTCCAAAAACACATATATTGATGGGCATTTGGCAGTATTTCCTACATTTTCTTGAACCGGAAGCCACCATCTTGGACTTCAAAATGTCATCATATATCGATTTCCGGTCTCTAGAGGTCACTCCGATTTAAAAAAAAAACCATTGTGATGGGTATTTTACAGTATTTCCAGCTTTTACGAAATCGGAAGCCGCCATTTTGTATTGCGTCTGATATTGATTTTATTCTTTAGACGTCATCCCGTTTCCAAAAATACCCATATTCATGGGTATTTGATAGTGCTGCACCGAATATTTGGCCGCCGTAGTATTCGGCCGAATATCAAGTGTTGAACTAACAAAATTTCACTCAATCGTTTTGTCGACTACTCATTTGCAAGAAAATGGTTGAATATTTGCGAAACTTCACATGTAAACACCGAATACCAGGCCAAATAGCACTGTTTGATGCAGCTCTAGTATTTGACAGTATTTTCCACATTTTCTTGAACCGGAAGCTGCCATCTTGGACTTCAAAATGGCATCGGATATCGATTTCCGGCTTCTAGACGATTAAATGAAAAATACACATATTGATGAAAAAAAAAACCACCCGTCAATGATAAATTTAACATCCACGTACACATGCGCTTAAATGAGTAAACAATCACCAAAAGTCAGAAAACCTGCGCGAAAGTGGATCGAACAGTTTCGCTTCGATACGAAAGTAAGTTCATTTGACAATGAAATACGAGATGAATACGAGTCAAGCCAAAACAAATAGCATGAAAACTGATCGAAAGTGGTTCTGTTGATGTTGAAGGGGATCTGCTCGAAGAGATGACGGCATGACTTTCAATTGAAAGTGATGGTTGACAGCTTCGTAGTCGCTTGACGACTTTCGAAAGAAAGTGACTTTGTTGGGCCCTGGTTACTTCTTACGTGAAGTTCACGATTTTCAAAGTTGGGAGGAAATGCTATACTTTTATCAACATGAAGCTTTAGTGCGATAATTTATTAGCTGGAGAAAGTTCAATCTATCGTATCCAGAACTTTCTTCAGCTAATAAATTATCGCACTGATGCTTCATGTTGATCCAATTTTAGCATTTCCTCCTAGCTCATGATGTTTGATTCACTAGAATTGTGTGATCAAGATCTTTGGCATCTGATTTCTCAACAAAAACTGCCGGGGATTTTCGAAATATAGGTATAGTTATGTACAAACACTTGCTCTACCTATGATCAGCTGATCATGGCCTAGATGCAGAATCATCAATAAAGCTGGTAGCAACATAGACGGGCTAGCAACACTCCAACCAAGGAGCCAATAGCAGAACGAACGCGATTCATCTGCACCGTTGACAACGACGACGCAGAACTAATGGGGACGGACGTGGACTCCTGACGCAGCAGCTAATCTACCATCGATTGGTAGGTATCATTTCATTTTCAAAATTAATAAGTTAGTCCAGATTAGGTAGACAGAGTGAAAAGACAAAAGTGAAGTGAAACTTTGTACAGTCAAGATT